CTGCTGATGTCTGAGCATCAGGACAGTAAGTGCTGGCAGTGACTCCACAGAAATTGTTTAATTTAGTCCATGGATATGGTTAAAATATATAAAAAGAAATAAGGCAACTGATTCTGCACACATATTTGCAACCTGTAAATGAAATCACAAATCCCAGGAAACATTCTGATTTCTGCTTCAACCTTAGAGTTCCAATGAGGATATCTAAATAGCACCTATAGGTAAAGGCTCTTCTCTATCCTCAAAAATGACCTAACACTTTTGAAAAACAAAAGGAAAAAACCAAAACAACTACAAAAAAATCCCGGTAGGCTAAGATCTCATTAAAGGACCTGGAAACTATACAGTCTAAATTTCCTTGTTTTCTTCTTCAAAGAAAAATCTGCATCCATGCAGCAGCAAATTCTAGATGAAAACATGATGGCCTAAAACCACTAGGAAAATTCAATGGCCAAGTAATCATATATTTTTCTAACAGCATATTTCCTCTTTTTGGAATCTCCATTGATTTCAAGCTGAATAGGGAATGGTATGAAGAAGAAAATATTTTTCTGAAACAAAATGTAGAATTGTTGATGTTTCAGTTAAAATCTCCATTCCAGAGGGAAAGGAGACTGGAAACTTTTAATTTAAATAAAAACTTTCTGTGCAAATACAAAATGTTTACATCATTGAAGAATTAAATATTTTGGTTAGTTCTATTTCCAAACCAATACAAATTCCAGTGTCCACAAACCAGCATTTGAGACCCCCTGAAACTCAGATCTGAACTCTTCAAGTGCCTGGAGGTCCCTGGGGTCTCATTTTAACCCCTCTCTGAATACTGAAGTGCATCCATCACAGAAAAAGAAAAACATGCCCTTCCACGTGTGGTCCCTTGTACCCCTGGCACTAAGTGACCTGTGGTGTCCTCAGACAAGTTTTTGGGAAGGTACATGTCTTCCCCTCTGAGTCTTCCCCTTTGATTAATTTTGCTGGCCCAAATTCAGCAAAGCCTAATTGCAAAGCTGTCCTTTCATCTGATCTATTTACACTGAAATTCCTCCCCTGAAAGACCTTTCGGGAAATCTCTCTGTTTTCCTTTCAGGCTCTCAGCCGGGCCCAGACGTAGCTGTGACCCAGCTTATGAGGCTACTCTCAAGACATATGGGCTGGGGACTGTGGGCTTTGGAAGGATGGAGATGGCCAAACTGTCACTATGTCCACTTCTCCCTGCCCTTTCCCTTTTGTTGCCCAAGTCCATGGAAAAACCTCCCACTTTGCTGAACAAAGCTCTGCTTGTCACAGCCACAGCAGCTCACTGGCTTATTACACCCTTCTCCCTCTTTCTGTTGGTTCCTCAGTGCTCAACCACCCTCTCAGAAACCTGGCCAGCCTCTTCCTTTGTACTCCTGCCTTGGCAGATGAGCAGACAGTACCTGGGTGGCAGGCAGAAGCCCACGCACTGCTGCTCATAGGAAGTGCTGGGAAGGATCCTGAGAAGTTCTTCTGGGTGGGAGGTGAGGAAAGGGCAAACACTTAGTGAGACCCATGGAGTTAGTCAGTTAACAAGCTTTTCATAGCCTAAGTGTATGAAAAGCTCCACGTGTGGGAAGGGAACAAAGTAACACGCTCCCCTCTCCCTCCTGAGAGCCTCATACGCTTCCTCCTGTACTGCACCTATCAATAAAAAATCTCCTATAAATATAATCAAGCAGCTGAACAACATAGCAAGTTAAACCATGCTTGTAAAACAGCATCTGTATTTCCTAGAAAAGACCATAAGCCCAGCTTCCAAAATATTTCACCACCTCTCACTGAATAAAAAACCAAACATCTAAAACAACCTACAACCTGTTTTATTTCCTCTTCTCTGCTCTCATCTCCTTAGAGTACAAAGTTCAGGCTCTGGCCCATAGCTCACTCCCTAATGGTTTCCAAAGCCATTCCATTGCTGGAAGCAACACAGTGAACCACCCAGCAAAGCCCACATTTCATTAGGGTTTAGGCAACAAGCAGGTGGCCAAAGCCTTCCCCCGTCCAGCTCCCTGCTTAATCTGCTTCCAGCAGGTCAGTGATGGAAGCAATCAGATGGCCATGGCCAGGATGCCCCATGCCAACTGCTTTGGCCACATCTCTGCTTATGAAAGCTGGACTGGTATTTTCAGGTGCTGCTTAGACACACATATACATGACCTATACATGGGTTCAGTTCAGCTCGTACATGAGATCACTGGAAGAAATAAAGAACCAGTTCCAGGAAAAAAACTCCAGTATCATCCACCCCTTAAGTCTCCCACATGCAGGGATATAGAGGCAGAGCCCTCTGCCAGCTGAGCCAGCCCAGCAGAAGCACTAGGCACAGAGTCCCAGACAGTATTCAGGCTGGAGGAACCCATGCCCAGCTAGTCAGAGCTGTGTTTCCACTCTGATATTAAGTGCACTTCTGAATGCTTGAGTGCTCCTCAGAGACTGCACAGCTGCACTGGCAGGTCCTGTTGTGCTTGCTCTGGAGCAGGCAGCAGCCAGTGTCACTTCCCTGCCTGATCTGCTCTGCATGGTGCAGGCATGGAGCATCCACAGCACTGGAACACAAAGCATGGCATAGCCTCTGCCTGAGGGAGCTTGTTTGTACTCTGCAGCTTCCCTGGACTAAATCATGGACTGAAAAACAAGCTGGTGAGCTACAGCAGATGAGGCAAGACATCAACGATGGAATGGAGGTGTTCAGTTGGGGTTTTTTTGTGCCTGCTGATTAAATTCTGCTGGTGTAAGGAGAACCCCCATGACAACTTTACTGTACTGTTTTCATTAAAATTAACTCTAGTATAAAACTCTGAAGAAGACTCAATAAAACCCTCCTTTGCCTTGAGGAAGACTGAATACAAATGCAATGTGCTCCCAGAGCCTGTGATAATTACAGAACATTTTAAAATTTTACCTTCCAAAATCCAGCTAACTGATTTCTCTATTTTGGCAAATATTTTATCTTTTGTGCTGAAAGCACACTCCAGGAAATTATTTTATTTATATTTATTTATATTATTAAATTTTAATTTAAAAGAACCTAGCTATCAGTTGAAGTGTTCAAATCCTTTTCTTAATCTGCTTTAATACAACAACTCAGGGGAAGAAGGGACAGTACTTAAACTCTGGGCTGGAGGTTGACGTTGGGTTATTGCAGAAAGACACCAGCAGCTCAGAGCATTCCCTTTGCAAAGGCCCCTGACAACCATTGCCTGCAGTCATTGTGTTTGGAGCCCATGGAGAGGAGGTGTAAATCCTAGGAAGGCTAGCTAGCTAGCTGTGTCAGGAGCAGGGACAGTTGGAGCAGATACAAGCCTGGAGGCTGGAAAGGCTATGAGCAGCGAGGTGTCCCTCACCTGCAGTGAAACCCTGGGGATCATGTTGGTGCTGCTTGCTTAACACCCCTCCTAAGGCAAGCTTGGCCCAGGACAGCATCTAATGAGCTGATGATTCAACTCTGGCTCAGAGCTGAAAACAGCCACCATCACTGGAAGGGGCTATATAAACGATCCAGACAGGTTGTCATTATTAAATATTCCATGAATTACCAAATGATCCAGCAGTCATTTCCATGTGAAGCAACAGCAGGAGCCAAGAACTAAATTTCAGTACAGTCCCTGCATAAATTCCTCTCTTTCACTTCCCCAGGGCACCCAGTTCAGATCTGTGTCACAGACGAGTCTACTGTGTTTTTATGTTCCCCACTTCAGAGCAGTGAGAGTCAAGAACCACATAAAATATTTCAGGACATTCAGAGTGAGACATCAGCACGAGGTAAAGCAGTCCTGCATGTGAGTACTGCTGGGATAGTCTTAGGTTTTCACATGAGGCTCTTAGTGTAACACAAATTTCTCTCAAAGTCCTGGATTTTTATGTTGTTGGTCAGAAAGTTTAGAGTTTACAGAGCCACAAATTGTTTGCCCAAGTCACTGCTGGACTCATGATCCCTAGACCAGTTAACTGTTGCTACATGTGAAGACATCTCACAACAGCCATTACTCAAGGCAAAAGTTTGTCCTGCCTGGCCAGGTAACCCCATGGCTTGGCAGGGTGATGAGCCCCATCCTCATGGGCCCCACTCCAGCACTTGAAGGGAGAGTCCAGGCCCCATATGGCCTTGCTGCTACTCTCATCCCCTCTGCAGTCAGCATTACTGTGGGAGTACAGGAAATAAAAAGCAAAGACTGTAAACAAGGGGGCCTGCTATTTTTGATGCAGTTTTTCTAATTGCAACAGAGAAGATCACCAAAAGCAGCTTGAGGGGTTTGTAATCATCAGACACGCTGGCACTGAAAATAACCCCGTTTTTTGCTGATTTGAGTAACTTCATGAAAGATTATGATTGCTTCAGGCTTTCTCTTCCCCCTCTCCCTGACCAGTTGTAATTCACTCCAGAAGCAATATCATCTGAGCCATTCTTAAAACATTTTCCATATTGTCTAGTCCTCAACCACCCCCAGGTCCTCAAGATTTGTTTCCTGAATGAAGGCTGTAAATCTTCGTACAGGATGGCAGGAGATCATCGAGCATCAGTGCTATTATGTAAATACATTAATGGTTCTTTTAACTGCAAGTTGATTGGGATTGCAAATGACACACCAGTGATTTACAGGTCTGAGTGCTTCCTACAAAGAGGAACAAATTCTATTCACTGATCTTTGAACCCAAAATCAGATCCCTGAACCATCCTGAAGGTTGAGACAGCACAGGTCTGGGCTGGAGCTGAGAAGCTCCATTTTATCCCACCTGTGCTGCCCATTTACCTGTTTCTCAGCATATGAAGAAAATCAACATGGGCCACTTTCCAACACTCTTGGGTATTAATGGGTAGCCCTGTTCCACATACAGCTGTTTATTTATCAGAAGAGCTAATTTAAGTACTACCGAGTCTGAACATGACACTGGTCCCTCATGACTCTGCAACACCATAAGGACCAGGGTGCAGCAGGCAGTGCTCATGCTGGGCTGGAGGGATCCAAAAAAGATATGCTCACCTGACACGAAGGCCACCTTCTCCTTCAGTATAGGAAGGACATCAGCAGCTTTTAATCCATCATTTCTAAAAGAACCTGAAAAAAAGAGAAAAATAGGAAAGCCACATTAGAGGAGAGCTTGTCCTTGTTCCCAGCTTCACAAACACTCCATGTTTCTTAAAAATCAGACTGAAGAAAGTCAATAAATTACATAAAAGCACCAAGAAACAAACCCTAATGGCTGATCCACAAACAGCACTGATGTCAATAGAGAGATGTTTGTAAAAAGAAAAAATCAGCTCAGCACTTTATTCTTTAGAAGTACTGAAAGGCCAACAAACTGCCCACCAAGTCATCAGGTTTTCCCCTGCTGCCTTTTTCCCTGACTATCAAGCCTGGGAGATGGCCAGTTTGCACACTGAGCCAGGAGCCTTCTCCCTTCACTGTTTTGAACACAGTCCAGGTAAAATTGCAGGGAACATCATAGCACATAGACATCCATTTAGCATCTGCTCTTGAGACAGATTTGCATGGAGGCTGGCTAAAAAAGGCCTTTCCCCTTCCCCCCTTCTGGTCTACACATCACAGCTGGAGATGGAAAGACTCAAGATGAAGATTACACTTGGAGAGAGGACAAGCTAGCCAAAGTTTTCCCTGGGTAAGGGGAGGTTTCAAGCCATAGCACATCTCCATGTACTTCATGCTGTTTGATTAGATGTGAAATATACCTGCACAGGCCATTTGCCTTCCTTGCAGTGCCAACATATTTCATGTCTCCTGAAAGTTCACCAAAGAAATCCCAGATTTTTACTCTTCTGGAAGCCTTAGGAAAAGAACTGCTGATAGTTTCAGCAACCAGCAGCATTTTTCTGCTCTGCAAAAGACCAGCAGTAATGGATCACCCTACAGTAAAGTGGACACTTCTATTCCACCAGCACTATTACAAAACTAATGGGGGGTCTGAAGGACATCTTTGCAGTTGCTCTGAAAAATAATTCATCCATCACTGAGTAGTGAATACCTATCATGACAAGTGAGCTTCACTATGGTCTTAAATTTATTCCAGCTCAAAAACTACAATACATTTGAAACTCTATTTTTACTTTCTGCCTTTCACAGGCAGGCAACAACCACCATTCTTCTGAGATGGTATCAGAGCAAGAGCCTTCTCACTAAGCAGCTTTCTTGACTTGCTAGAAATTGGGTGATGTTGCTCCAGCCATCACACCTTCCTTGCTGACCACAGCAGATGGCAACTGACCAGGTGGATCTGAAAGTAGGAAGAGGCATAGAAGCCCCTCCTACATATTGTCATCTACTTCTTGCACCAGGCAGCCTGCAAAGGTACAGTGCTTCAACCCACACAGATACATTGAACAGGCAGGATGAAGACCATAGCAGCCATTTTCACCTGCAGCTGACCTTGCATACCTACAAGTATTATTAACAACAACAACAACATGACTGAGTTACTATTAATGGCAAATGAGGTAGTATTTGCCATTTGCAGTCAGCTTGTGCAACAAGCCTGTCTTGTATGTGCAAATATGTCCCTCACTGGTGACCAATGGCTACAACTACCTCTCTATGTCCCCACATGCTCTCAGGTGTCACCTCCATGACACCGAGCTCCAAAGCAAGCTCTCCAGCTGAGCCTGTGCTTGTTAAAATCAGCACATAAAGGAGTGAGGTCATTCAGTGCAAGGCCAAGACCAATGTAACTGGAATTCGAACAGGCACTGGAGCACAGTTCTGAGGGATCCCTAAAGAGCACTTTGTCTCAGTAAAGTGTTTTGGGATCACGGAAACTAGCACTGGTTGCTGAATTCTCTCTGTGTTCAATTCAGCA